ACACTCATATATAAATCCACTTGCAATGCTTTTACGAGATGGATTAAAAGCTTCCGTGTAAGAGTACGCTAAATTTCGTTACTTGTTTAACCTAGTTTCTCATATACCTCCTGTCTTTCTGGAAAATATTCTTTTTGGTTTACAACTTTCATTCTTGGCTTTAATTACCTTGACTACTTTTCATCCTGTTCATTATTCTGGAAACGAAACAATGCGCGATGATTTCCTCTCTCTTTCTCTCATTACGCTACATGTATCTCATATCTCAATTTAGCTTCCTAGCCAATATTTTTATCATACTACGTTATTTATTATTGCGTTTCGTCAATCATGGCCACTTAATGTCAGTCGATTAATTTTGATAGCAGGTTGACTGAATCTCTCTCCATGTCTTGCCCGATCATTGCATCGACAGAATACGAAAATTCAGTTAATTATCAATTAAAACTGAAATGTGTAACGAATCATTGACATCGCCGAAGGCAACGTACATTTCGCTAATTATTTCATTTTACGATAAGCATTCGGTGTAATGTACATTTGAAAAATACTATTATTAAAAAAGAGATATTGTCACATTGCCCCACGTGGAAATATACATATATTGGCCATTTATAAATACACGAGGTAAATCGGGATAGACGGTACAACGGGATCTCCTATTGAAATTTGTGTGCGGTCGTGTAACACATGTTTTTGTATAGCTTCGTTACAGAGTTCATAGCTTCGTTACACGAGAGCGGAATACTGACTCTTGTGGACTTGCTGGCGACAATAACCGTTTGATAGCGTCATGAATTCGACATTCGGTATTTTTGAGTCGATATGCGACCTCGCCAATCCCGCCCATCCAATCATTACAATAAACGTTCGAATAATCATCGTAGAATCGCTGCAATATGTTGATTGCAATTCCGAAATGGGTTTACGGAAATGACGCAGCTTACGTGCTGCCTGTTTAATCACATTTAGTGAAACTTTAGTGCCCAACATTTCGCGTAATTATCGATGTAATCGATGCATCGAGGTATAGTCTTTCAGAAGCTACAAAGCGCAACTGAATTTCTAATAAAAAAAATACATAACAGTAGTTTTGAGTTTCATGCAAAATACAAAGTAATGAAATAAAGGTGTTTTTCTTCGAAATTTATAACAATTAAATTATATAATTATCAGAATGTTTATAAATTAAAAATATAATTGGTAAGTCATACAAGTTGGAAATAAACATTTTCAACTTCTGTTAAATTGTAAACAAACGTAATAAATGCAAAAGTATCAGATTCCGATCATTCGTGTACAGAGCACAAATTTATCATTATTATGTAGATATTTTTTCAACAGATGTGTATGATACATTATATTTTTAAATGTTAATCGCGCCGACTCTCACATTGTTACAGTTTATCGTTATCTGATCATTGGATATCGCGATGTAGCGGTGTGTTATCTGCAAAATATTCGAGCAATGTGCAGTGTGTAACATTAATGGCATTTTTGTATTACTAGCAGGTTGAGATAACTATCATCAAATGTTACCATATTTGTTATCGAACTGCAAAGTATTCCATTGAGACATCGTCGTTGTTTTCGATATGTTCGACACCGATAAGCGTTTCAATGATAATAGGGCGATAAAAAAATTAAACAATAGTCAGTTAATAATAATAGTATATTACCGTAGAGGCATAATATTCGAGAAAGTTATACAAATGCTTGTGCAAATTTGCAAGTAGTGTCCGAGGACGTTGTTTTCGAAAAATACGTATTATAAGGCCATTTTAGATTTCGTTTATTTATGTCATTTATGAGATATAAATATAAATAATTGTCTTTTTAAATCTGGTTAACGAATTATTTATATTGGTACTCTGGCACTCTTTTCTAGCCGGTTGTACTTCGGGTAGAAATGAATCACAGACGGAGCTTCTGTTGGCGGAGCAAGAGCTCTGACGGTTGAGAGCGGCAGTAGCGACGGCTTTCATATGACGAAGTTAAAGAGGCATCCGAGATCTTCCTTTCTTCGACAAGAAAGCGGAGTCGGTTGCAAACGACGATCCCGCTGTCTCTGTTCAACACTTCGTGTATCCCCTTGCACTCGGCTTTTTATCCGCTCCGTCTCTTCCGTCCTTTCGTTTCCCTTACATTTATGGCTCTCCCTCTCTCTTTCTTTCTTTCTCTTTTTCTTTTTCTCTTTAGTTCTCGCTTGCTATCACATTTTCCAAGCGGCATTTTCCTTCGAAAAGCGCTTTCTTATTTGCGACAACGCACCGCACTTGCTCGCCTCCTTCTCCCCCAGACGGTGTACTCGAACGGCAGCTATAATTGAAGAATATTGCCCCGCATGGACCGCAAATAGGACGCGACTCTAATTTCATTATTCGCGAAAGAAGCGTGCATCTCCGCAGAGAGAATACCTCACGAAGGTGACTTTGCCTACGAGCCTCCTTGTATTGCTATTAGAACGCGGAGGCGGGAAAGAGGAAACGGGAGACGGGATAACAAGAAAAAAGTGGAAACTGCCGCACGCCACTCCGCAGAAAATGTATGACGCGGTATACCGTAGAGATAAAAAAAAAGCGGTTTAGCCGAGCAGTAGAAAGGAGTCGTCGAGAGTGTAAAAAATTGTCATGAGAACTGTATATATACATTTTTTTTCTTAGATTAAATCACGTTAAGGAAAAATTACCTTGTACATGTAATATTCAACGTTCAATTCGTTTCATCAAATTCAAATTAAAAAACAGAGAAGGATCAAAATTTGATGAAATATTCGTATCATATTTCATTTAGAAGCTCGTTCATTATTATTTAAATCTCATCTCCGAGATACTCGCTTCATGGAAGTGGAAGGCGAAAGTATAATTGATACTCGCGGGGTATTATAAATAAATTACGCTCTATTGCGCGCGTTACATTAATTCCTTTTCTATACGTTCTATAGCTCGCCTCGTTATCTTCTAAACGTTCTTTCAAGAACGAGACGCGGTTGCCCGGCTATAAAGCTGCAAATCGATACCTTTCTTCGCTCCGACAAAGAGACTATTTACCGTATTACTAAACCTATATACCGAATGCTTCGCAACGACCCATAGCATTAACCTTCTTTTTGTAACGCTTGTTGCATTTCGCGCTCGATTTCACCACTGATGGATACTTTTATCTCGAGTGTTCGATTGTTAAAAATCGCTGGATGCCATGAGCTAATGAGCAATTGACCTAGACCGACGTTATATCAGCTTTTACAACAAAAACATCACGTTATTTTTTTTAATGAAAAATATTTTTATACAGAACACACACACACACACACACACACACACACACACACAAATACAGTGTGCATTCCAAACATTCTTCAATCATATCTAGCGCAATATTGGTCCGATGGTAAACTTGATAAATTCGGAGTAAACAAATTCGCTGCATCAGCGCAAACATATTAACTAATACAATAGTGCTTTTTATATGCGGTTACATTTTTAAGATTTTTTGAATGGTAGTTATTTCTCGAATAAGCTGTGCTTTTTTTGCAATTAAAAAGTAGATTAAGTAAACAGCTGCTTTTGATCAATTTAATTATTCGCAAAAAAAAATAGAAACGTTCGAAACGCATTGTGTAGAAAACATTTCGGAGTTCAGTTACATCGGGACTTTCAATTATATGCTACGTTCGTTAAAATCATTCGCAACATAATGACGACGAGTATCGCGTGCCGACGGCGTCGATTTATTTCCCGCCAGCGGCGGCACGGCGGAAGGAAGTATAGTCATCGATGGAAAACCGCTGTCGTCTGCTGTCTCCGTGTGTATCGGAATATGTACCGCCATGATGCAATCACACGAGCCAGGAGTGCGGACATTTACACGCATTTAACCCTTTGACGAGCGGAAACACGCACGGCAAATCAGCGTCGGCGCGAGCGCTCGCGGTGTACGCATTCGGTAGCATACATCACCATCCAATTATCACAGCTCGCTGACGCTAATTTCGGGCATTCAGATATCATTTCATCCGTCAATGGCGGCCTGATTACCAATTGTATAACTCCTTTTTTTCCAACTCGCTCGTTCGGTCTCTCCCTCGCGCCGGCACAATGGTCGCTTTCGGGCCGATCGTGCGGTCCGTAGAGTGAATGCTGCGCGCGAGTACGACGGCATAATATGCTTCGGAGGATGCCTGTCAATTTTGCAGCTCGCGGCTGTAAACATGACCGTTTCATCGGAGATAAAATTTCAACGTTTGGCGGCTAATTTGCCTCGCGCGGAGCACGACGAAGTGCGGAATTACATTACGGTAACGTTTTAGGGAGTGCTTCACGTAACTGCATACGGTTTATTAGTTAATAAAAATCACAATGTTGTTAAACACGATTGCACGTCTCTCGAAAAACGTGCGATAGGCCAAAATTCAAATAGATTACTTTTCCTAAAATTACATTAAAGCGATAATTAAATAAATAATGATAACTATTAACATCTTTTATCCGCAGTTTAATCCGCAGTATAAGCAATCTTTTGCGTATCCAACATGAAAAAAATAATAGAAGATGAAAAAATAAAAGATAAATGTTACAAGTTTCTTAAAAAAATACATACATTAATTTTAATTGAATTGTATCATATTTGTACGCAATTCGTGAATTGCATACTTTCTTAAATGAATGTAAATTTTACTTACATATATGTTCTTTCTGCTTGAAAGTTATAAAAATAAGCATGCATAAGCGTGAACAATCTATTATCCATAAGTTTCATAAAAGATCTGAATGGAATAGAATTCTAAAGTTCATGACAACTACTGCATGCAGCAAGAGAAGAATACTTGCATGCACTTGGTTATATTTCAGTCTCATCATTATAAATTGATTATAACGTTATTTTAAACGTTATTAAATAATGCAGTAGAATATCAGTGTTATTCATATCCCGGAATAATAATATAAATATCTGAAATACAAGAGATTGTGTATAACAGAAAATACAATTTTACATTTCAGATTTCTCGCGGAGCTCTGAGTTCCTTCGTACAAAGTTCTCTCGGTGGAATCAGTGGGGAAATCACCGCGTTATATGTGTACACAGCGTAGCTCTCCTGCAGTAAGTAATGTCTAATTTAGAAACACGACAATCTACGATAACGCCGCGGCTTTGCTGCTCCACAAATTTTCATCACGTTAATATCGATTAACACTCTTCATTGTGTTGATGCATTCAGTGTACTTTATTAATGTGAGAGAGAAAGAAGTGTAGCTTTATATGCATTTATAAATATGCATCTGATTGTATGTCTCTCTCTCTTTTCCTGATGTTAATCTTTATACGAGAGAATGATATACGAATTCACCATAAATATTTTAGAAAGACGTTACTCGTTTCTAGTTTTATTATCTTTCTCCTTTTTCTTTCTTTTTCTTTCTCTCACATACACGTGTCTATCGATCTTCTCCACCTCTATTTTAACAATCTTACGTTATTACATGACCGGCAAGCTTTTTTTTATCTGTATTATTTACACATTTCTAGCGATCGTTTGGTCGCTCGATGGTCAGTATTTCCAACATGAAAGTTTCGCGTGCCGGTCTGCAATACGCAACCATCGGGCCAGCACCCAGCACACCCTCGCCACTCCCGCACTTATTTATTTTTGCATTAATCTATTTTTATTTTATTTGCCAACGGAAATCCCGGCTGTCGCCGGCTGCGCCGCAGCCGCGTCGCGTCGCGTCAACTGTAAACAGAAAGCCATGCGGCATTGCGGCAATCCTATCACGTATGCGCGTGTCTACGTGCACGCGCCGTTCATATGCTCGTCGGAGCAAATATGGTAATGCATTCACGCGAAATGTTTTCACGGGGCTTTCTCGAAATACCAAGTCCGCGCGTGAGGCTTCCCTAACGGTTTACAAACAAGCCTGATCGCTCTAGATGGTGGCGAGCAACCCTCGCCGCCACGACGCGTTTTCGGTGCCGCATACATGCCGGAGCGTTGCAAATGCGCGCGCGTGCAAGAAGGGTGTGAGGCGTACATTTAAAAGCCACGTCATTAAACGCCTAATTTTTTTTTTATAAGATTCGTTCTGTTATAGCTATTCGAAATTAATTTGTGAAAATTAATTTGTGAAAATTTGTGAAAATTACTTTCAGAATATACAAATAGTAAATATATATATTTTAGATGCTGACGTAATTTCGAGTTAAAGATAAACTCACGTGTCGCCTAATTTTTCTCTTTTTATCATACACGCAAGTTTAGAAATATTTATTTGTTTGGATATTTATTCTCACTAAAAATAAAGATAAAAGTTTTTTTGTAAAGCTTTTATAATATTGCGGATGTGTGAGATATAAAGGCAAATTTAAATATTTCTGAATAGATTGTAAATATATATTTCACGAATCCGTTAATTCCCGTAAGCGGACCAATGTCATTCCCGAGAATCGAGAGCTATATTTTCGCGCCACGTTCGTCAAATTGAGTCCTCGCAGTTTTCCACGGATATTCAACGGCGGGCAATAAAGTAATGCCAATATTACCGTCGCTATTATCCTAATCGATGTTCGTGATAGCGGCACCGAGGGCTTACACGGATCCGACCGGGAGACCCCATCAGGATGGCTCCGTTACATTCATGACCCTGGCACGGCGATTACGGTCGATGATCCGTGGTGAAATAACCCCCTGGTTCCAATCATTTCTCCACACCAGGACCGCAGGGCCAGATGGGTCGTGGTGAAGTTGCGAAATCCTTAGCTAAGCCACGATCAGGGCGACGCGTTTGAAGTCGCAGACCGCGCGAGGAACGATCGGCGGCGGGCCGAATCGCAGGTTCACGGGCCATCTGTTGTTAAACGGGGAACGCGCATCGATCCATAATACCTATCTTACATTACGAAATCATCGATGACTAAGTCCTTCGAAGCAATTAGCTGGAAAGCGGCCCAAATCCAGAGGAAGCTGCCGCTTGTCCGTGTATCGTTGATCAATATTCCCTCTGATATGGCATTAATTGTGGGATTTGAAATTTGGAACAAAATGACATGCTCTTGTGCAAATAATAAGTTTTGATAATCCTTCGTGGGCGTATTTAGAAAATATTGGACGAGAAATATTGAAAGAGAAAATAGTGTTTCTTGGCGTATTCTAGCTCCGTGAATTTGATTTTTTTTCTGTCAACAAGCGAAATTGTTACGATGAAAAAATTCTTGTTATTTAAAAAATTTTAAGCTCTACTTTGACTCCATTAAATGATAAATAGCGTCTACTAGATATTCAAATTGACCGGACTTTATTCTGTACGAAATTTCTCTGTCATTTTTGTTACATGGCGCGTAATTTTCGTTTTATTGATCGCAACATACACGTCTGCAAGACTTCACGGATAACATCATTCACCGTAGTCATTCGATAGCGGAACAACCGAACGATCTCTCCATGCGCAAACGTTGCTCGGTGTCCGTCGCACGCGTACGCGAGAACGAGATAAAGATATCGCGCAATATGCGCGATATTATGCGACCGGTGCAATGGATGATGCACCACGCGCGCCGTTACTGCCTTCGTCATCGCGCCGCACGGTAAATTCGAGCGCAGCCGCGCGCGTATTTGCTCTCGGAAGCGACGATATCCGCTCACGCGTGCCGCGCTCACGGTACGCTCTGATTATCAACGAATAATTCCTGCGAACGACGCGCTGTAGCGTGCAAATTTCCCGACAGAACGCCGCGCCCGGCCCGTCGAAAATCATTCCGGCGACGCGCCGGGCGGACGCGCAGGGGGATGGTAGGCGGCCCCGTTAAAAAAAAACCCGCTTTTCGCTTATCCCTTGAACTTTGATCCCCCGTGGCGTGCCGCTGACAGGTTGTTCAATGTTTGCTCGACCGTTTGTCCTGCAGACCGGTATTTGGTTAATCAGCGAGTTAGTTGTCCATGGTCGAATTCCCGCCGTCGTTTCTCCCGCGCCCTGTCCCGCCCCGTTTACACGCGCGTTTCTCTCCATTTCTCTCTCTGTCTCTCTCTCTCTCCCTCTCTCGCTCTCCACCTGTCGGTTAGTTTGTTTATCTCTTTCGCGGATAGGGTCTCGCTGGACTACGGCCGATCGGAATTTATCGAACGTGTTCGTGCGTTCACGCGTGAAAATATCTATTGCGTGTCGAGCGATTCGACCCACACTTCAGACGGTCCCTTTTATTTAATGACATGGATACTGACAGACTTCTTCTTAAAACTAGTCACGCGGAATGCAATTTCGTAATTCAAATTTGAAGAAACCTTCCGACTAACTTTTCTTTTAGAATTTTCATCGGAATCGTCTGTTCACAATGCATTAGAGAAAAAAAATATTCGCCCTATAAAAGGAGAGTTACAATCTTTCAATTAATTAAACAAATTAAATTACTGTCGCAATATTATTCTTCTTTGGTATTCAACGAAAAGTATCTTGAAAATACGATTTCTCTTCTTGTTTGTGAAGAATCGAAATTTCCGAATTAAGCGCGAGAAAGTACATCCCTATATAGAATCCTACGCGCGACACTTTCTATAATCTGTACGAGATCTAAACAACGCAGCCGGTATTTGCACGCTCAGATAGATAACCTAATCCGATCTCCTACGCGACTCCGCCGCGTATATCGCCCGGTTTCCCTGTCCGCCCGAAAACCAAGAACGTCCTCTCGGCTTCCGTCGTCTGCGCGTCCTTCGATGTGTGTACGAAGTTAGTGAGTTTGCGTAGTTACCGTTACTTGTGCATTAATTGAGGATTACAACAGCAACGAGATATGAGGGGGGCGGTGGTACTGGGGCGGGCAGGTTGTATAGCGCGGTAGGTAGAGTTGGCGGGGAAGTCGGAGGTTGGGGAGAAGAGGAGATGAAGCGATGGGGGAGGACGGGGTGGATGGGGGGAGAGGGGAGGACAGGCACCGCGTCGGAGGGTTGGATGCGGAGGAGTTGGTCGACAAGCGTGAGTACAAGCTCAAGCGCAGGCTTCGGTCTCAGACTCTCAGGCACATGGTAACTTTCCTAATCACCGTACGAAGCCCCGAGGTAGTCATCCGCTCAGCCATCATACCGCCATCTAAGTACAGCAGACACGAAAGCTCGATTAGAGACGTCGAAATCGCGTGCGGCATACGCGGATACCTCTCCGCTGGATACGTACACACCTACGTCGATCCCCGGCTCGAAGTTCAAGCACTTCCTGATCACTGCGCGACACAAAAGGAATCGCGGGTCGCGAACAGTCAATACGTGTCCCCCATTCGATAGAGAATCGTTCAAGAACGTGCAGTCCTCGCGCTAGCGAGATAACCTACTTTTATACAGTAGTACGTTTACCATATCCTGCACTGCACCGCATCCTGTTAACGCTATCTCCATAGAAATTTATATGTTATTATCCTTCACGGATTGTTATTATTTCTTCCTAGTGTTTAGTTAGCTAACTCTGATTCGCGTAGATCAGTGCGTCTTTACTGGTCTCTTAGAACATTAGTGTCGGTTTACAATAAGGATTTTAAGACCTAAGCAGTAAGAAATAGACCAATTGAGTCGAATATAAAAATAATTGATTGTAATTGGTCAATATTTTACGGTGCAAGGCTTTAAAAGCTTTATTGTGGACCGATACTTAAGTAACTTAAAGACCAACCAGTCTTGATCCTTTTCGACCTTAAGTATTTAGATATGTACATATATATAATATTTTAAAAGATTTTTTTAAATTTTAGATTAATTAAGATATTTAAATTTTAAAATATTTACAAAAATATTATATTTGGTGCAATTTCTGAAAAAAATATTACGAAAAATGTTTGCATTTCCAAAGAAATAATATTTATTCTTGAGTTATTTAAAATATCCAAAATATTAATTTAATTACTATTTTTAATTATTGAAATGTATACCTTTTTCAGACAAAACTTTGAAGAATACACAAACGATATAACATCACTTAAATTAAAAATATTCACTCAACTTGTATGTGTCATATGAATTCCAACAAACGTAGTCTGATGTTAGAGAATTCCTGATCCTACAAAGCAAACATTATGTTCACAATGCAGTCATGATTTCACGTTACGTGTATACATTATATAAA